GCTGAGGAGTGATCACATGATGGGGGGCGGGGCTACAAAAGATCAAACAGACCCCAAACAATCCAACCTGCAGATCCCCCCCATCTGAGCTAGTAAACTCCTCCGCAGGTCACATGGACACCTGGAATCTATTCTTCACTATATATGACATCACGGCTCTCTGTTACCTGAAGATCCCGCCTGCAAGAGCACTTCCTGTGGGAGACCGACAACACTTAGCCACGGCCTCACAATTCACAGCAGCGTTGTCATCGGCGACCATGTCACGGATCTCCAGATATAAACCTTTCTAAATCGATTCCAAAACACAACGTCATCAACAATCGTCATTTTATATTATAATCCTTGTTGTCCTCCTTTGTTCCATCTCAGCGCTGCTGATCTCCTGCATGCTATTCTCAGCCACTTCCTGTCTACGTGACTACATGTCATTTCTCAGGGCGGGTTTCCTGATGGTGACAACAGAGGACCATGTCTGTGTAATGTGAGCCGAAATGGCCACTTGTAGTCTCCATGGGAAGCTTGTGTGACAGGGTGACAACGGAGAACAATTGGAAGTGCTGAATAAGGACAGAGCGTTGTCACCCTATAACAGGAAGTGCCTGGGCAAGGACCTCCATGGCGGGATCACCGGGGGATGCAGATTTAAAATAAAAGTAACATTTGGAAGTGATTTGGGATTTCAGGGTCACTGGCTGGGGAGGTTTTTTTTTGGTGGATCCAGAACTTCGGTGTGAAAAAAGTAAGAACACAGAATCAGGAAGTGGATGAGGATGACATGTTGTCCTCTCCGTCATGTTCATCCTCCTCCTTCATTTACACACTGCCACCTCCTGCCCCAGTATCACCCCGCGCCCACTTCCTGCCCCCCTCCCCCCCTCGCTGTGACATGCGGTCTGCGGTGTCTGGAAGTTGTTCTGCGGTCTCCCTCTCATTGAAGACATACAATTATCTCCTGGCAGGTCACATGACCCGGACCGAGCCCTGTGACTGGGCTGCGGCTGCTCTAGAGTGTCAGCTCTTCAGACCTCCCGCCTGTGAAGGGAGAATGGATGGTCACATATTATGGGATGTCTGTCAGAAGGAAGGCCGCGTAGTGGAAGTGACCGGGACAGACATCCCACATGCAGATTCTATGACACAGAGAACACAGAACACGCCATGTACACGCAAACACGTGTCGTCACTCTTCTGAGAAGGATCCGGCTGTTCTGTCATTGGAGGAATCGCTATCCTGATCCCTATACAGCGCTCTCCCCGTACAGAGTCATCCTGATCCCTATACAGCGCTCTCCCCGTACAGTGTCATCCTGATCCCTATACAGCGCTCTCCCCGTAGAGTCATCCTGATCCCTATACAGCGCTCTCCCCGTACAGAGTCATCCTGATCCCTATACAGCGCTCTCCCCGTAGAGTCATCCTGATCCCTATACAGCGCTCTCCCCGTACAGAGTCATCCTGATCCCTATACAGTGGTGGCTGGATTTTACAGCAGTAGGTGTCTGGTGGGGGTAGTAGTATACAGCAGTATAGGGAGAAGTGTCCAGTGAGGTGGTACACCCAATCGCGTCTGGTGGGGGTAGTAGTGTGTAAAGCAGTAGGAGTGGTACATACAGTGGAAGTCTGGTTGGGAGTAGTAGTATATACAGCAACAGCAGTACTATACTGAGCAGTATACATAGTAAAGCTATAGGGGGAAATGTTCAGTGGGGGTAGTAGTAGCAGTATAGAAAGCAGTACCAATTTGGGGTAGTAGTATATACAGAAGCAATATATAGAAGTCAGAATGATATATACAATGGGTGTCCAGTGGGGGTGGTAGTAATAGTATATACAGCAGTATATTTGTCTGGTGGAGGTAGTAGTATATATAGTTGTAGAAGTAGATCTAAGTGGGGGTAGTAGTAGTATATATAGTTGTAGACATATAGGAAGCAGTTTCCAGTGGGGGTAGTAGTAGTATGTACAGGAGTAGGAGTGGAACAGCACTGTATTGGTTGTCTGGTTGGAGGTAATAGTGCATACAGTAACAGCAGTGTCCAGTGGGGGTCGTAGTACGTTATCCAACAATGCCCAGTGACTTACCCCTCAGTGCCCCACACTCATGGTGTCCGCTGGGGGTCGTAGTACATCCGGCGCTCCGCTCACTCCCTCGGATACATTGTATCTCCTCTCCGGCCTTTCATTCACATAAAGAGCTCCGTCCGGACTGTACCATCTCCTCCCGGCTGTACAGGGGGGGCCGCCTCCCCCTCCAGCCGCGAGCCCGGCACACCCCTCTCTATGGGAGCACCCATTCTGGGGGCGGAGCCTGCGGGTTAAAGGGACACACACCATGCCGGGAGTTCAGAGCTGACAATGTGCCGGGAACTCCGATGCCTGTGCTGAAGATTACACATCACTTCCCGGCAGTAGGGTGGAAGATGACTGCCAGCTACACGTGAGATTTGTCTCTGAACTTCAGTCATTTCCGGCCCGATGAGGATTCAGGAATAAAAATACTGATCATATAATGTATTCCTATGGGGGAGGGGAGCCGGGCTGCATGATACATTATGTGAAAAAAAATAAATGGCGTTTGTCAAGTTGTTAACATTTATAAAAAGTTATTTTAAAGAAAAACACAAACTGGGTAGTAGGGGGCAGTGCAGGGGATGGGGGTGGTCGGGTGCCAATGATGGGGGTTGGGTTAGTCGGG